ATCCCATTGTTCACTGCAGCACTATTTACCATAGCTAGAACATAGAAGCAATGTAGATGTCCACAGACAGATGAATGGATAAAGAAATTGTGGTACATATACACAATGGAATATTACACAGCCATAAAAAGGAGTGCATTTGAGTCAGTTCTGATGAGATGGATGAACCCAGAACCTATTATACAGAGTGAAGTGAGTCAAAAAATAGAAAGATAAATATCGTATTCTAGTGCATATATAACACTTAGAACTGGACATGGAAAGACAGACTGGTTCCAAATAGGGAAAGGAGTACCTCAAGGCTGTATATTGTCACCCTGCTTATTTAACTTATATGCAGAGTACATCATGAGAAACGCTTGGCTCGATGAAGCACAACCTGAAATCAAGACTGCCAGGAGAAATATCAATAACCTCAGATATGCAGATGACACCACCCTTAAGGCAGAAAGCAAAGAACTAAACAGCCTCTCAATGAAAGTGAAAGAGGAGAGTGAAAAAGTTGACTTAAAACTCAACATTCAGGAAACTAAGATCACGGCATCTGGTCCCATCACTTCATGGCAAATAGATGGGGAAACAGTGGAAACAGTGACAGACTTTATTTTTTTGGGCTACAAAATCACCGCATATGGGGACTGCAGCCATGAAATTAATAGACGCTTGCTGCTTGGAAGAAAAGTTATGAGCAACCTAGACAGCATATTAAAAAACAGACATTTCTTTGCCAACAAAGGTCCATCTAGTCACAGCTATGGTTTTTCCAGTAGTCATGTATGGATGTGAGAATTGGACTATAAAGAAAGATGAGTGCTGAAGAACTGGTGCTTTTAAACTGTGGTGTTGCAGAAGACTCTTGAGCATCCCGTGGACTGCAAGGAGATCCAACCAGTCCATCCTAAAGGAAATCAGTCCTGAATATTCATTGGAAGGACTGATGCTGAAGTTGAAACTCCAATACTTTAGCCACCTGATGTGAAGAACTGACTTATTGGAAAAGACCCTGATGCTGGGAAAGATTGAAGGCAGGAGGATGAGACAACAGAGGATGAGGTGGTAGGATGGCATCACCAACTCAATGGACATGAGTTTGAGTAAGCTCTGGGAATTGGTGATAGACAGGGAAGCCTGGCATGCTGCAGTCCATGGGGTCACAGAGACACAACTGAGTGACTGAACTGAACTTAACGCATATATACAGAATCTAGAAGAATGGTACTGAAGGACTTATTTTCAGGGAAGCAGTGGAGAAACAGACATAGAGAATAGATTTGTGCACATGGGGAGAGAGGAGGAGAGGGTGAAATGTATGGAAAGAGTAACAGGGAAACTTACATTACCATCTATAAAATAGATAGCCAATGGGAATTTGCTGTATGGCTCAGGAAACTCAAACAAGGGCTCTGTATCAGCCTAGATGGGTGGGATGGGGAGGGAGATGGGAGAGAGGTTCAAAAGGGAGGGGATATATATATATACCCATTGCTGATTCATGTTGAGGTTTGACAGAGAACAACAAAATTCTGTAAAGAAATTATCCTTCAATAAAAAAAATAAATTTTAAAAAAGTATAAACAATAAACGCTGGAGAGGGTGTAGAGAAAAGAGAACCCTTCTACAGTGTTTTCATAGGAATGTTAAATAATACAGCTACTATGGAGAACAGTATGGAGATTCCTTAAAAAACTAAGATAGAGCTACCATATAATGCAGCAATCCCATTCCTGGGCATACGTGTGTACCTATGTGCATGTTAAGTTGCTTCAGTCATGTCCATCTCTCTGCAACCCCATGGACTGCAGCCTGCCAGCCTCCTCTGTCCATGGGATCTTCCAGGCAAGAATACTGAAGTGGGTTGCCATGCCCTCCTCCAGGGGACCTTTCCAACCCAGAGATCAAACCCCTGTCTCCTGTGTCTCTTAAATAGGCAGGTGGGTTCTTTACCACTAGTGCCACCTGGGAAGCCACTGCTGGGCATATATCCAGAGAAAACCATAATTTGAAAAGATCCATGCACCCCATGTTCACTGCAGCACTAATTACAATAGCCAAGACATGGAAGCAACCCAATGTCCACTGACAGACGGATGGATAAAGAAAGATAGAGTATGTACACGCAATGGAATATTACTCAGCCATTTAAAAGAATGAAATAATGCTATTTGTAGAGATCTACATAGAGATTACCATACTAAGTGAAGTCAGACAAAGAAAGCCTAATACAATACCCCTTATTGAAAAAACTGAAAAAAATGATACAATTGAACTTATTTACAAACAAAAACGCTCACACACATAGAAAAATAGACTCATGTTGACCAGGGGAAAGGTGGGAGGGAGAGGTAAACTGGGAATCTGGGATAAGGTGGAGTTATTTAAAATCCAAAATTTTAAATAAACACACTATATTTAAAACAGATGATCAACAAGGACAACTGTATAGTACAGGGAACTCTACTCAGTATTCTGTAATAACCTATATGGGAAAATAATTTGAAAAAGAACGGATATATGCATATGTATAACTGAACCACTTTGCTCTAACACCTGAAAGTTACACAAAATTTTAAATCAACTATCTATTCCAATATCAAATAAAATGTTTCAATGTACCATCAAAATAAGATACCATTTACATCAGCACCCAAAACAATTATATACTTAAAAATAAGCCTAACAAAACATGCAGAAGATCTATACAAGGTAAACTATAAAGCTGTGATAAATAACATCAAAGAACTAAATAAATTAAGCCAAATTCTATGCTTATGAGTAGAATAATTCAATATTGTCAAGATGTCAGTCCTTCCAACTTGATCTACACAATCAGTGCAATCCCAATCAAAATTCCAACAAGCTATTTTGTGGGCATACGGACAAAATGATTCCAAAGTTTCAACGGAGAAGCAAAGGACCCAGAATAGGCACCTTAGTATTGAGGAACAAAGTTGCTAGACTGATACTACTCAAGCTACACTTACTACAAAGCTACAGTAATTAAGACAGTGTGGTACTCATGAAACACACAAAGATCAATGAAACAGGAGCCCAGAAACAGACTGACATAAACACTGTCAACGATGTTTGACAAAGTAGCAAAGACAATACAATGGAGCAGACAGTCTTTCAACAAACGGTGCTAGAACAGCCACATGTAAAAATATGAACACAAACTTATTTTAAGGTCTGTATGACTTTAAAATCTTCACAAAAGTTAACTCAAAATGGTTCATAGATCTAAGTGTAAAGTACAAATCTTTATTAAATCCTAAAAGACCAAAGTACAAACCCTATTAAATCCTAGGAAAAACCTGGGTGACTGTAGTTATGGAATGATTTTTTAGATACAACACTGTAGGTACAATCTGTGAAAGAACTGATGAGCAGGATTTCATTAAAATTTTAAAACTTCTGCTCTGCTAAAGGCAATGTCAAACAAATAAGAAGACAAGCTACAGAATGGAAAAAAATATTTGCAAAAAGACATTTGATAAAGACCTATTTTCCAAAATATACAAAGAACACTTAAAATGCAAAAAAATAAAAAAATAAAAACTGGGCAAACAACCTAAACAGACACCTCACTTAAGAAGATATACAGAGGGCAAGCACAGGAAAAGATGTTAACATCATTTATCAATAGAGAATTGCAAATAAAATCAATGAGATACCACTATGTATCTATTAAAATGAACAAAATCCAAAACATAGACAACACTAAATGCTGTCAAAGATGTGGAGCAACAGAAACTCTCGTTCACGGCTGGTGGAGATGGAAAATGGCACACCCACTTTAGAAGACAAGTTTGTTGGTTTCTTACAAAATTAAACATTCTTACCATACACTCTTACCGTTTGGCAGTTTCTTATATTAATAAAACTTGGCATGCTTTTACCATACGATCCAATCATCACGCTCTCTGGTATTTGCCCAAATGAACTGAAAACTCAGGTCCATTCAAAAGCCTGCATAAGGATGTCTGTAATAGCTCTATTCCTAAGAGCCCCAACTTGGAAGCAACTAAGATATTCTTCAATAGCTTGAGTGGATAAATAAATACTGGTACATCCAAACAATGGCATATTATTCAGCTCTAAAAAGAAATGACCTATCAAGCCACAAAATGACACGGAAGAAACCTAAATGCATATTACTGAGTGAAAGAAGCCAATCTGAAAAAGCCACATGCTACATGATCCCAATAATACAACATTCTAGAAAAAGCAAAACTATGGAGAGAGTAAAAAGATCGGTAGTGGCCAAGGGTTAGAGGGGGAGGAGGGATGAACAAACAGAACACAGGAGATCTTTAGGGCAGTGAAACTATTCTGCAGGATCCTCCATCCATCGATGGGTGTCATTACACACTTGTCAAAACCTATAGGATGTACAATACCAAGGACAAACCCTAATATAAATTATGGACACTGAGTGATAATGATGTGTCAGTGTGGGTTCATCAACTGTTTAAATGCACCACTCTGGTGGGAGATGCTGACAGTGGTGAGGAGGACTGTGGGGGGGTGGGTAGTATTTGGGAACACTCAGTACTTCCCACTTGATTTTGCTGTGAACCTAAAAAAGCTCTAAAAAAACAAAAGTTTATTAAATGAAAAATAAAGAAAAAAATGAAGGTTTTCTTAAACTACAGCTGAGTTAACAGAGACCAATGAAGACATTTTTGGTTTCCCTGCACTCATCCAAGGAAGAAAATTTTCCTAAGAAGCAATTTTTAAAAACAATACAAAATTCTGCTTTATTCTGCTGTATATCAAACAATGAAAACACAATCTTTCCTTATTGCTAATTTTTGAAGACAACAGCAGAGAGAAACAAGTGTTCATGCATAACAATGTCGCAGCATTTGTCTGATGCTCTGGAGTAAAATCAGTTCACACACTTGCATTTATCTCCCTATAATACCTCCACCCCTCCCTTCCTGAAATTCTGGTCCACAGGTGTACCTCGCAGAGAATAACCTTAGAGATGATGCACAAACCTTTTCCATCACGAGGAGGGGCTCCCTTTGCTTTAAAACTGTCCACTGGTGCCTTTGTGTCTGTTTCCAAAGCAATGCTTATCTGTATCTCAGACTTGAACTTGGTGTATTTATTACTCAGCAACTGGTACCATTTTGGTGCCTAGAGAGTAACAAAAAAAGCAAAGCTCCTTAATAGTTAACAGGAAATAACAGTAGTAGGAAATGTTCTATAAGGTTGTAAATACGTTTCCTGTAGTTTCTCAGAACTTCCTCCTTTTTTAAAGTATTTTTCCTCCACATTTTCCTCAAAAGAAATGAATACTGCTTAGGAAACTAACTGAGTTTCCTGTTGGAAAAAAAACAAGCGAAAGTTTAGATTGCCTTGCTTGTTTTTATTCCTATGCTTCAACAGGTATGTGTATTTCTTTCTATCTTCACTCTTATATCGTCTGTCTCACTTCATCCCTTATAACAACAACAGAGACTATCGGTTTTCCAGTTTCTAACCACTAATTTTTCACTTTTTCTGTTATACCTTTTCTGCTTGCCACATTTCTGCTTTGTTCTGTTTATATCAAATCAGGAAAAGAAAAGCTTAATGTTAATAAAAACACAAACAAAATACTAAAGTAAGGTCTAATGGTAGCGTTCTGGGTTATGAGCCATGTATTTGACTGATACCGAAATATAAAAGCTTTCTCACAGAATGAGGAATCCTAAAATACCTGCATAGCCACCCTCTCTCCTCAAACCTAAGAGTAACCTCAAGAATTTTAATACCCAAATCAGCCTGCAGAATCTCATGGCCCATGATCACATGTACCATTAGCATAGGGGCACCATTTCAATACCTATAAACAGCATTCTTACTCCGAACACTGTAACAGAAAGGCGAAGGAACTGGTGATCAAAACCAAAAACTGCAGCTTTATATTCAAACTATGTTTATAGGTGAAACAGGATGAAATAAACCATAGGTATTTTTTAAAATCCATAACCAAGTTTTTTTTAAGGCAAAAACTCATAGTTTGTTGCTGTATTTATGACAGATATTTTCTAACTTTAAGCATTAGCATAAAAAAAAAAAGACTTTTAGTTGCTCACAGAATTTACGATATATTTTATTTTTCTGGTGTTAACTCAGAAAAACAAATTTGGTTTCTTCTGTTTGTGTTTATTTACAGAGAATCAATTTACCCTGAAATTAAAATATTCTACTATCCAACTTCAAATATTTCTGCTGGCAAACAGAAAACATTAAGCAAGACAATATTTAGTTTTCCCAAAACTAACATACTTTTGAAACATTCCTTCTTAACTCTGTTCACCAATATGAAGACTAACTGCCCTAAAGGACTAACCAGGTAAAAGCAATGCTAAGAGCATTTAGAGGTAAGAGCTTGCCTTGGACATCCTCCTCCTCAGAGGCATTACCTTCTCTTTAACCAAAGAAACTACACAAGTATTCCGGGTCTAAGCCTAGAAGGAAAACCTTTCTCAGGACTTGGGGGGAAGAGAGGTGACCCAAAGATGGAGGAGAAACAAGTCCTCTTTTAAAGCATTTCAGTTTCTTCTGAATAGCCCCAAATTTGGGCCAGACTGACTGGCTTATTTGCAATTACACACATATTCTTGGAGATATTGCAGGGTGGGTCCCAGACGACCACAATAAACTGACTATTGCAATAAAGGGAGTCGTACAAGTTCTTGGGTCTCCCAGTGCACACAGAAGTTCTGTTTACGCTATACTGTAGTTTAACTGTGCAGTAGCATTATGCCTAAAAAAAAGTACATACCTTATTTTAAAAATGCTTTATTGCTAAAAAATGCTAACCATCAGCTAAGCCTTCAGTGAGTCATAATCTCCTTACAATAGTAACATCAGAGATCACTGATCACAGATCATTGTAATAAATATTATGATGAAAATGTTTGAAATATTCCAGTTACCAAAATGTGAGCAAATGCTGCTGGAAAGCGGCGCCAACAGATCACAATTGGTTTTTTTTTTTTTTTTAAATAAGCATATCTGTGAAGCACAATAAACTGAAGTGCAATAAAAATGAGGTATGCCTTTATCTTTCTACCAGGAGCAGAAATGTCAGTAACAGATAAATGAGGATTCTGTGAAGAAAAATTTAAGATCCAAATCCATCAAGGACTTTAAAATGAGAGAATATTTTTTTACTTTATTTTCTGAAGACAGTAGGACCAAAAAATATCATTAAGAAAAACTGAAACTAAGAACTTCTAAAGTCAGTAACATACAAAAAAAGTTGTAAGATATTTTAAAAGACCTAAGAAGCATTTTCAATAACAAAAGCATAATCAAGACCCTGAGTTGTTTTACCATCTTGCCAAAGGGATACTATTTACATGACAAGTGTGTTACAAGAAGTTCCCTTACTCTTAATACAAAAGGCATGCAATGAGCAGGAAGCCGGGATACCAATTAGAAGGCTACCATGAAAGCTGGCAAAATTCAGGTTTAAACTGAAAGAAGTAGGGAAAACCACTAGGCCATTCAGGTATGACCCAGTTCAAATCCCTTATGATCATACAGTGGAGGCGATGAATAGGTTCAAGGGATTAGATCTGACAGAGTGCCTGAAGACTATGGACAGAGGTTCGTAACATTGTACAGGAGTTAGTGACCAAAATTATCCCAAAGAAAAAGAAATGCAAGAAGGCAAAGTGGCTGTCTGAGGAGGCTTTACACATAGCTGAGGAAAGAAGAGAAGCAAAAAGCAAGAAAGGGAAAGATATATCCAACTGAATGCACAGTTCCCAGAGAATAGCAAGGAGAGATAAGAAGGGCTTCTTAAATGAACCATGCAAAAAGTAGAGGAAAACAACAGAATGGGAAAGACTAGGGATCTCTTCAAGAAAATTAGAGATACCAAGGGAACATTTCATGCAAGGATGGGCACGATAAAAGACAAAACAGTAAGGACCTAACAGAAGCAGAAGAGATTTAAAAGAAGTGACAAGAATTCATAGAAGAACAATACAAAATATTCTGTGACCCAGGTAACCACGATGGTGTGGTCACTCACCTAGAGCCTGACATGATGGAGTCTGAAGTCAAGTGGGCCTTAGGAAGCAACACTACAAACAAGGCTAGTGGAGGTGATGGAATTCCAGCTGAGCTATTTCAAATCCTAAAGGATGATGCTGTTAAAGTGCTGCACTCAATATGTCAGCAAGTATGGAAAACTCAGCAGTGGCCACAGGACTGGGAAAGGTCAGTTTTCATTACAATCCCAAAGAAAGGCAGTGCCAAAGAATGTACAAACTAGGGTATAATAGCATTCATTTCACATGCTAGTAAGGTTATGTTCAAAATACTTCAAGCAAGGCTTCTGCAGTATGTGAACCAAGAACTTCCAGACGTATAAGCTGGGTTTAGAAAAGGCAGAGGAACCAGAGATTAAATTGCCAACATTTGTTGGAACATAGAAAAAGCAAGGGAATTTCAGAAAAAATCTACCTCTGCTTCATTAACCAGGCTAAAGTCTTTGACTGTGTGGATCATAACAAACTGTGGAAAATTCTTAAAGACATGGAAATAACAGACCACCTTACCTGTCTCCTGAGAAACCTGTATGCGGGTTCAGAAGCAACAGTCAGAATCTTACAGGAAACAACTGACTAGTTCAAAACTGGGAAAGGAGTACAATAAGGCTGTAAATTGTCACCCTGTTTATTTAACTTATATGCAGAGTACACTATGTGAAATGCCAGACTGGATGAATCACAAGCTGGAATCAAGACTGACATGAGAAATATCAACAACCTCAGACATGCAGATGATACCACTCTAATGGCAGAAAGAAAAGAACTAAAGAGCCTCTTGATGAGGGTGAAAGGGAAGAGTGAAAAAGTTGGCTTAACTCTCAACATTCAAAAAGCAAAAATCATGGTATTCATGGCAAATAAAAGGGGGAAACAATGGGAGCAGTGACAGACTTTACTTTCTTGGGCTACAAAATCACTGAGGAAGGTGACTGCAGCTGTGAAATTAAAAGATGCTTGCTCCTTGGAAGGAAAGGAATGACAAACCTTGACAGTGTATTAAAAAGTAGAGACATCGCTTCGACAATAAAGGTCCATATACCCAAAGCTATGATTTTTGCAATAGTCATGTGGAAGAGAGAACTGGACCATAAAGAAGGCTGAGTGCCAAAAAATTGATGCCTTTGAATTATGGTTCTGGAGAAGACTCTTGAAAGTCCTCTTGCAGTTGGACTCTTGCAGTTGGACTGCAAAGAGATCAAACCAGTCAATCCTAAAGGAAATAAACCCTGAATATTCACTGGAAGGACTGCGCTGAAACTGAAGATCCAATACTGTGGCCACATGATGTGAAGAGAGAACTCATTGGAAAAGACCCTGATGCTGGAAACAATTGAAGGCAAAAAGAGAAGAGAGCAGCAGAGGATGAAATGGTTAGAGAGCATCACCGACTCAGTGGACATGAATCTGAGCAAACTCTGGGAGATAATGAAGGACAGGGAAGCCTGGTGTGCTGCAGTCCATGGGATCGCAAAGAGTTGGACATGACTTAGTGACTGAACAACATGACAGGCTGGGTAAGTGGCTTCAGTTTGAGATGGCAGCATGAAATGCAGGACATCAGATGGATCAGGAGGGAAAACCAACTGGGAAAGGTTGGCTCTGGAGGCCAGGAAAGGGGAGTGTCAAGGAAGACGTCTGGAAGGAGAGCAGTGACGATCACTGAAGCAAGGAACTCTACAAGAGGAGCACTTTGAAGGTTCAGCAGGAGCTGAACATGCTAAACGTAAAGGTAATAGCAACTTGAACACAGATTTGAACTCAGAAGATCTAGGTCAAAGGAAGGATCAAAAGGTCAGGATTTTCTATAGCAAATTCACTTTAAGAACTAAGAACTACCATACCATACACCATGGTACGAGCCATGATCTACTAGGTCTAATAGTCCATGTCCTTTCCATCAATCTCTTATCTACTGAAAAGAACCAACTGTTTGACAGAGTCAGTAACAAAACATCAAAAGGTCAGTACCTGCTTTGTTTCTTGAGCAGTTCTTAAGTCCAGAACAAGGTAACCAATAGTTTCTCTGGCTGAAGTTAAAGGATCCAAGGCAAAACACTGCAGTTTGATAGGAGTACGCTGTAGCCTGTAACATAACAATTCATGTGATAAATAAAATCATTTTTGCTTAATACTGAACTTTTTATCAGCTTTGAAAAAGCTACTTACTACTACTCAAGACAACTATTATTTTGTTGGATAACCTATATCTTTTCTGTACTTTCTAAAAAACTCAACTGGCAAGAGCTATTAATTATGTCTACTTATCTATATACCAACTAATACACAAAACATGTCAAAAAAAAAAAAAACTTTAAGTCTCTCTCATCCAAGAAGCTAACATCTAGGTCAATGTTTCTCAAGCTTCTGTGATACACAGAATGTTTTCAAAGTCAAAAATTACCATTAATCCTCAAGACTGATTTTAAATTGTTTTTCTTAGACTTATACACATAAAGGCTTGAACATACATATATATGCTTCTTTTTTTATATATATAGATTTTTTTATGTAGATGAAAGAAATCTTTATTGAATCTGTTACAACACTGCTTCTGTTTAATGTTTTAGTTTCATGGCCCTGAGGCATGTGGCATCTTAGCTCCCAGACTAGGGATGGAACCTGCACCATTGCACTGGAAGGCTGTCTTAACTGTACAGCCAAGGAGTCCCTATTTATATGCTTGTAACTCTTTTTGTTGCTAAAAAAATGAAATAAGCTTAAGAATTAAATGTCATAACATTGTAAATTATTAAAATTAAGTTAAAAGCAATTCAGTGTAATACACGATAAGGTCATGTAAGGAGGAGCCTGACTTGTGCAACATGGCTTCTTTTGAGTCTGGAACCCTTACACATACGGTAAGCTGACTGGAGTTTGCCATCACTGCCATTATCTAACGGAATGACTGTGAACCCTGCACTGGACACAAAACTCATCATGTATGTATTTATCTGTGTTATTGTCTCAGTCTACGAAATAGAGTGGTGCCACTTTATACTAACACAATCGTATACACAAACATCAGCGCAGGCACTAATATCTCAATATGAAGACACTGTCTGAGCAGATATTCCAGAAGTCACTGAGATGAAATGCAAAATTCTTGCATTTAATACCATTTTAAAGAAATTCATGGACTAAGCCAGGGGATCTTCCCAATCAAACGCAGGTTTCCTGCACTGCAGGCAGATTCTTTACCACCTGAGCTACCAGGGAAGCCTACCTAGACATGTATGTATATATGTATATATACATGCAGTAGCTCAGCTGGTAAAGAACCCACCTGCAATGCAGGAGACCCCAGTTCAATTCCTGGGTCAGGAAGATCTGCTGGAGAAGGGATAGGCTACCCACTCCAGTATTCTTGGGCTTCCCTCATGGCTCAGATGGTAAAGAATCCACCTGCAATGCAGGAGACCCCGGTTTGATCCCTGGGTTGGGAAGATCCCCTGGAGGGCATGGCAACCCACTCCAGTATTCTTGCCTGGAGAATCCCCATGGCAGAGGAGCCTGGTGGGCTACAGTCCATAGGGTCACAAAGAGTTGGACATGACTGAGCAACTAAACACAGCACAGCACCTTCGAGCGTGTACACATGTCCATGCACACACAACTCACAAACTGAAACAAGAGCTGAACAGACTGGAAGTAACAGTCACCTGTGCTGATGAAGTGCTTTCCTGTCAATTTCCCAGGCTAACTCAGTAGCAAATTCCGGCTGGTCTGTATGGTCCACAGGATCAGTAGCCAGCTGCTCTCCATCAAACTTTGCTTCTACTATAAGCATATGTTTTGGACGTTTGGGGAAATGGCGACCTAGAAAAAAAAAGACTGTACAGGTTAACTGGAAGTGTACAAAAATCAAATATGGTCACCTGGCACCTAAGTTTTAAAAACTGACATGTTAACAGTGGTTAGCCTATCATGTATTCCATAAACTAACTCACTAGCACATACTCCGGAGAAGGCAATGGCACCCCACTCCAGTACTCTTGCCTGAAAAATCCCATGGACAGAGGAACCTGGTGGGCTGCAGTCCATGGGGTCACTAAGAGTCGGACACAACTGAAGCGACTTAGCAGCAGCAGAAGCACATGCTCACATATATACTCAAATTCATGATTCATAAACACATTAGTCAAATCGAAAGCTGTGATTAATAAATTAGTGCTTCTCTAACATTACTGTGCAATGAATCACCCAAGGTCCTGTTAAAATGTAGATTCTGGTTCAACTGGTCTGGGATGGGCCCAAGATTCTGCATTTCTAACAAGATCCCAGGAGATGTCAATGATGTTATTCTTGGTTCACACTTTGAGCAGCAATAATCTCAATAACATTCAGAATTAAACTGTTAAAAATGTGATTATACCCATTTTAGATGTTACTAAAATCACTGTGGACAGTGACTGCAGCCACAAAATTAAAAGATGCTTGTTCCTTGGAAGAAAACCTATGACAAACTTACACAGCATATTAAAAAGCAAAAACATCACTTTGCCAACAAAGGTCCATATAGTCAAACCTATGGTTTTTCCAGTAGTCAAGTATGGATATGAGAGTTGGAGAGACGTCTGAGCCCCAAAGAACTGATGCTTTCCAACTGTGGTGCTGGAGAAGACTCTTGAGAGTCCTCTGGACAGCAAGGAGATCAAAGCAGTCAATCCTAGAGGAAATCAACCCTAAATATTCATTAGAAGGATTGAGGCTGAAGCTCCAGTACCTTCGCCATCTGAAACGAAGAGGTGACTCCCTGATGCTGGGAAAGACTGAGGGCAGAAGTAGGGGGCAACAGAGGACAAGATCGTTGGATGGCATCATTGACTCAATGGTAATGAGTCTGAGCAAATTCTGGGAGATAGTGAAGGACATGGAAGGTTGTCATGCTGCACTCCATGGGGTCACAAAGAGTCAGACAGGACAAAGCAATTGAACAACACATACCAGTATTTAATATAGAACAGGTTGTCTAGAGAGTTAAAAAATAATCAAATTAGCAAAAACAAATTTACCTGCATCTTAATTTTCCTGTTAACACAGTAATAGGATCAATCTGATCACATGGACCTCAGCCTTGTCTAACTCAATGAAACGAAGAAACATGCTGTGTAGGGCCACCCAAGACAAACAGGTCACGGTGGAGAGTTCTGACAGAATGTGGTCCACTGGAGAAGGGAATGGCAAACCACTTCAGTATTCTTGCCTTGAGAATCCCATGAACAGTATGAAAAGGCAAAAAGATAGGACTCTGAAAGATGAACTACCCAGGTCAGTAGGTGCCCAATATGTTACTGGAGATCAGTGGAGAAATAACTCCAGAAAGAATGAAGGGATGGAGCCAAAGCAAAAACAACACCCAGCTGTGGATGTAACAGGTGATGGAAGTAAAGTCCGATGCTGTAAAGAGCAATATTGCATAGGAACCTGGAATGTTAGGTCCATGAATCAAGGCAAATTGGAAGTGGTCAAACAGGAGATGGCAAGAGTGAACATCCAGATTTTAGGAATCAGAGAATTAAAATGGACTGGAATGGGTGAATTTAACTCAGACAACAAATACGTCTACTACTGTGGGCAAGAATCCCTTAGAAGAAATGGAATAACCATCATCGTCAACAAGAGTCCAAAATGCAGTACTTGGATGCAATCTCAAAAATGACAGAATGATCTCTGTTCGTTTCCAAAGCAAACCATTCAATATCACAGTAATCCAAGTGTATGCCCCGACCAGTAATGCTGAAGAAGCTGAAGTTGAATGATTCTTTGAAGACCTACAAGACCTTCTAGAACTAACACCCCAAAAAGATGTCTTTTTCATTATAGGGGACTGGAATGCAAAAGTAGGAAGTAACACCTGGAGTAACAGGCAAATTTGGCCTTGGAGTACAGAATGAAGCAGGGCAAAGGCTAATAGAGTTTTGCCAAGAGAACGCACTGGTCATAGTGAACACCCTCTTCCAACAACACAAGAGAAGACTCTACACATGGACATCACCAGATGGTCAACACCGAAATCAGATTGATTATATTCTTTGCAGCCAAAGATGGAGAAGCTCTATACAGTCAGCAAAAACAAGACCAGGAGCTGACTGTGGCACAGACCATGGACTCCTTATTGCCAAATTCAGACTGAAATTGAAGAAAGTAGGGAAAACCACTAGGCCATTCAGGTATGACCTAAATCAAATCCCTTGAAATTATACAGTGGAAGTGACAAATAGATTCAAGGGATTAGATCTGATAGAGTGCCTGAAGAACTATGGATGGAGGTTCATTACATTATAGAGGAGGCAGGGATCAAGACCATCCCCAAGGAAAAGAAATGCAAAACAGCAAAATGGTTGTCTGAGGAGGCCTTACAAATAGCTTTGAAAAGAAGAGATGTGAAAAGCAAAGGAGAAAAGGAAAGATATACCCATATGAATGCAGAGTTCCAAAGAATAGTAAGGAGAGATAAGAAAGCCTTCCTCAGCGAGCAATGCAAAGAAATAGAGGAAAACAATAGAATGGGGTCTAGAGATCTCTTCAAGAAAATTAGAGATGGTATGGACCTAACAGAAGCAGAAGCTATTGAGAAAAGGTGGCAAGAAAACACAGAACTATACAAAAAAGATCTTCATGACCCAGATAATCACAATGGTGTCAGACATCCTGGAATGCGAAGTCAAGTGGGCCTTAGGAAGCATCACTACAAACAAAGCTAGTGGAGGTGATAGAATTCTAGTTGAGTTATTTCAAATCCTAAAAAACGAAGTTGTGAAAGTACTGCACTCAATATGCCAGCAAATTTGAAAAACTCAGGAGTGGCTACAGGACTGGAGGTCACCTTTCATTCCAATCCCAAAGAAAGGCAATGCCAAAGAATGCTCAAACTACTACACAATTGCACTCATCTCACATGCTAGCAAAGTAATGCTCAAAATTCTCCATGCCAGGCTTCAACAGTATGTGAACCATGAACTTCCAGATGTTCAAGCTGGATTTAGAAAAGGCAGAGGAACCAGAGATCAAATTGCCAACATCCGCTGGGTCATTGAAAAGCAAGCGAGTTCCAGAAAAACATCTACTTCGGCTTTATTGACTATGCCAAAGCCTTTGATTGTGTGGACCACAAAAAACAGTAGAAAATTCTTCAAGGGATGGAAATACGAGACCACCTGACCTGCCTCTTGAGAAACCTGTAAGCAGGTCAGGAAGCAACAGTTAGAACTGGACATGGAACAACAGACTGGTTCCAAATAGGAAAAGGAATACTTCAAGGCTGTATATTGTCACTGTGCTTATTTAACTTATATGCAGAGTACATCATGAGAAACGCTGGGCTGGATGAAGCACAGGTGGAATCAAGATTGTCGGGAGAAATATCAATAACCTCAGATATGCAGATGCTGCTGCTGCTAAGTAGCTTCAGTCATATCTGACTCTGTGCGACCCCATGGACTGCAGCCTACCAGGCTCCTCCATCCATGGGATTTTCCAGGCAAGAGTACTGGAGTGGGTTGCCATTTTCTTCTCCAGATATGCAGATGCTACCACCCTTATGGCAGAAAGCAAAGAAGAACTAAAGTGCCTCTTGATGAAAGTTGAAAGAGGAAAGTGAAAAAGTTGGCTTAAAATTCAACATTCAGAAAACTAAGATCATGGCATCTGGTCCCATCACTTCACGGCAAATAGATGGGGAAACAGTGGAAACAGTGACAGACTTTATTTTTTGGGCTCCAAAATCACTGCAGACGGTGACTGCAGTCATAAATTAAAAGACGCTTACTCCTTGGAAGAAAAGTTATAAAGCAGAGACATTACTTTGCCAACAAAGGTCCATCTAGTCAAATCTGTGGTTTCTCCAGTAGCCATGTATGGATGTGAGAATTGGACTATAAAGAAAGCTGAGCACTGAAGAATTGACACTTTTGAACTGTGGTGTTGGGAGGAGACTCTTGAGAGTCTCTGCAAGGAGATCCAAACAGTCCATCCTAAAGGAAATCAGTTCTGAATATTCATTGGAAGGACTGATGCTGAAGATGAAGCTCCAATACATTGGCCACCTCATGCGAAGAACTGACTCATTTGAAAAGACCCTGATGCTAGGAAAGATTGAAGGCGGAAGGAGAAGGGGATGACAGAGGATGAGATGGTTGGACGGCATCCTGGACTCAATGGACATGAGTTTGAGTCAACTCTGGGAGTTGGCAATGGACAGGGAGGCCTGAAGTGCTGCAGTCCATCAGGTCGCAAAGAGTCAGACACGACTGAGCAACTGAACTGAACTAACACAACACAGTAAAGGATACTTTACAAATTAGCCAAGGGAAAATAAACACATTCATTCATTCATGTTATTTTCAACGACAACGCTATACACTATCAAGAAATATTAAAATATTCTCTCTGCATTACTGTTCATCTGTACTGACAGACTTCATTCCTTCAGTTTGCTGAAGACATATTCAGAGTTCGGTTTATGCCAGAAAATGGGATGCAAAAGGAAGAAAACAGAGTATGTGTTCTTGAAGAGTTGAGGGTCCAGTGGAAACAAACTTAACACAGTGAAAACAAAAAACAAAACACTAAAAAAGAAATAAGCACTAAGCATCTTACAGCCAATATGTCTGCAGGTCTGGTGAGGGGGTTTCAGTAAGCGGAGTTTAACCACTGTTAAACAAGCACATCCCTCCTGCCACTCACCCTGGTTCAAGCTGCTTAAAAGGAATTAAGCTGGTCATAAAGACCTTGACTGCAAACCTGTGAGTGTCAACCTAAAGTTCTCATTTGAAACTCCCCATGAAGAGTCTTGCCACGCTGGGCATGGCTCTCCCCAGTAGAACTCAGGGGCCTCTCACAGGACGTCACTGTTGGCTGCTCTAACCGATCACTAAGTTTCACAAATGAATTTCATATGTGTCCAAAAAGACCCCTATATTTTCAGACTATCCTAACTACAACTTTCAATTAGCTTGAAACCAGAGGATAAGTACGGAACAACAGGTGCCTGCCTTGTCCCAAAGACAAAGACGACCTTGAAATCAGAAACCCGTGTCATTCTCATCCCTGGAATCTAGTACTTAGGCCAAAGTTTGCTCATGGTAGAGGCCCAGTGATCTTCTTTTGAATAAAGAGCACTTCTAGAAGCATAGCCAAGAAATTGCAAGCAGTTCAAATAGTTGAAGGACCAGGAACATATGAATACACACAGCAGGAGAGAGAAGGCTAAAAAGGTAGGTCACAAGTCTACCCTAAAGGGCCATGTATGCCACTCTAACCAGGACCTTATCCCTCAGCACATCAAAGGATTTTAAGAAATTTAGCTTGGCATTTCAGAAGTTACCCCTGCCAGTAAGGTGGACAGTGTTTTCTGAAAAGATTTATCAAACAGACTGCTGAGAAGATTACTACAGTAGATTAGGGGGATAATGACAGCCCCACAGCAAGGCACCCACAATGGAAACTCGTTCATTTAATAGCTTACATTTTAAAAAAAGTTATATAAAGCACCTACTATTATTTTTAAAATAAAATCAACACTTGGTGACCATCTGGATGTTGGGGATGGAGAGGGAACCCAAGAAGACGATGACTCCCAGGGTCTTGGCTTGAAGCAACAGCGTGGTTACAATGAATGGAAATACAAACACAAAAGGAGGAATGGCTTGGAGGACTGCATGTGTTTATAGCAACACCTAACTGACTTTCCCAATTCCAGGTTCTCTGGAAACCACCATACTCAGTCCCACAGTGGTCTGAGCTGTCTAATCGCCTGGAACGACTCTTCTATCCTTGATTACCTACCAACCAAGGCACTTCAGCCGTCAACCTCATCCACCTCCCAAACCTGTGTTTACAGTCTGTATCATTTATTTTTATTTACATTACATCCCAATATATTATGTCCTGCACATTAATTTGACCCCCCTAAGGAGACAGAACCCTACAACCTTGAAGGGAAAGAGAGTGCCTTACATTTCTGTTACCTCATAGCATGGGCCACAGTCCAAAAGCTTTTGTTCACCAAATTACAAGAGGATTTTAGTCCTATGTCTTTAAACAGTCAGTAACCTAACAGCTAAATCTTCCCCAGCACTACGGATTCCAGCCCATCCTCTCCTCCAAAATTCAAAAATTAGTTTTATCTTTTCTTCCCTCTCACCTCCCAAAGAGTGCCAGGCCTCCATGAGACACCTCCCCTGAAGGGCAGGGGTCCCCAGCGGTTCCTCTCACCGTTCAAGATGACTCCTTCTTGTCCTATTATTCAAAACCTCACCTCAATTTACCCATCAACTCCTATATCCTCCACTTTCCTGTTCTCCAACCACACTGAATTCAAGCAATCAAAGATGTCTGGCTTGACTATCCCTTAAACACCACTGGCGCTTCCCTTTGCCTGGAATGCCCTTCCTTCCTTTTTTCTCCCCCGACAAACTTTTAATCATTCTTTAGGACTAAAATAAATGTCATCTCCTTTGGGAAAACGTTCCCAGCTTCCCCAGACAGAGGTGATCATCCCTTCTTCCACACCTTGATAAGAATTTATTGTTCTCCAGGCTACACCGATAGCTTTTGGAACCAGGTCTGTTGTGTTTTTATTCCCAGCACAGTGCCTGACACTCAGCTAGTCTCCAAACAAACCCAACTTCCGGGCATGTGCAATAGACCCTCTTGACAACTGTAGTCCTCTAAGCACCCAGTAGAGACCTGTAAACGGAAGGGGCCCCGCAAAGATATCTGAAAATGCAAGAACACATAAACACTCCTGAAAAATGCAAGAAATACGTATTTGAGTCAAAGCAAAGTTCTCAACACTGATACCAGGAGGACGCTGAACAGAACGTGCTTTCCAGGTACTATTTCAGCTCATATTGTAAGCAGCATCGATATGCTGCTTCTGATGGAAACTTTCTCCAACATTCTCTGGGTCTACGGCTAATCACGCTAAATATCACCTACCCTTAATACCTCTCATACTCTCACTCCCTTGGGGGACTTGTAAATCAACTGCCCAACAGACCTTACAGCATACAACTTCAAACAAGTCTCTGAGGACCACAACCAGCGAAGATGACAGGGCTCTTCAGGTTAACAAAGCCTCGGTCCCACATTACTCCGTTAACATTTAGAAAGCAGCAACTGCAAACGCCAAGTTCCCGATCACTCACCTTCTAGGATGGACACGACGATGAGCAGTTGGTCGGACTTGGAGACCATGGTTGCGGTCGGCGGCCGGTAGGCCGGGGGTCTGCTGGGAGGAAGAGGGGCCCGGGTGAGTGGCGGGCAGCCTGCGACCCCAGGCAGAACTCCCGGCGAGGCTCCCGCAGCCCGCCCACAGCCCCGGACACCCGGATCCCGCCCGGTGGTCGGCCTGCAGCGCGCCCGGCTCCCCGGCGCGGGGCCGCCAGTCCACCCGCAACCCGGGCCCGACTCAAGGCAAAAGCCGGTTGGCCACCCGGCCCGGCCTGTCCGCAGGGAGACGCGAGCCCGCTGCCAGAGGACCTTTTGCTGCCTGCGTAAAAGCTTTTCAAACACCCCGGCTGCTGCCGCCGCGGCCGCCGCAGTTCCCCGCTTCCGCCTAGCAACCAGGCCCGCAGGCCCAGCGCCCCGGGGAGGCTGGAGGACAAAGGGTGATAGAGATCAGGGCAGTCGAGGATAGAACGCCCTGCAGCCCGCCTCACCTCTTACCCTTTTACGCTACGTTCCAGAGCCCTGAAGAAAAGACTGGCCGTTACCTCACAGCGCCCCCTGCTAGCCGGACCGGGGAAAGCGGGCGATTTGGTGGAGACCAACCGCGCAGGCGCACTACTGCAGTAAACCCTTCCCGAACTTCCCCAGTAAGGAAAGTGAATGTGATGTATTCTCTGGTTTTCGTCCTAGACAAAACCTGGGAAATACATCAATATAAGTTTAGAAAACAAAAAGGCTAGCTCTGTTCAGGCCACCAGTGTCAATACTGTTTAAAAGGTAAATCCTGGAAAAATAATGATTTAAGTCTGAACTCTAAAATCAACTAAAATTGTCCTGACGGCAGCGCAGGTTTCACGCTTTGTAAACTAAAGTAGTGTCATTACGGTAACTGCTGTAACTGCTGGCAGTGACGTAAGCTCGCTGAGAATTTCCTGTACAGTAAAAACTACCCTAAAACAAAAACATTGTCACGTGGGCAGGAAAATTAAAGGTATAGGTTCTTCTACTCCCTAGCGACAAAGTAATTAGCGAAATCAAGACCAGAAATCAAAAAGCATCTAAAAGCTTCATTTTAGAGGACATTTCCTCCTTTCCATGCCTTCTCCCCCACACACTTCAGGCTTTATTTTAGGAAAGATTAGAAGTGTTTTGGAAAGCACCTAGTTTGAAACTGGTTCTTGGGCGGAATCGGTGGGAGGACGAGGAAGACAGAACAATTTCTACTCCTTCACTCCGCCCCATCACCCCATCTCCGCTTTGTGCCCCAAAGAAAAAGAGGATGTGGAGACCGGACTAGACTACTTCTAAAACATTTTCAGGCCCCTTTAGAGGCCTCCCTGAAATAAGGCATTATGCAAAATAAAACCAAAGTAATGATCTACTTTCGGTTCAATACATTCTTCTGCGGAAAATGTCAGACTCAAAAGAGGACCGATCATACAAGAACCCCCAGGTACCCAGAACGCAGCTTGGGAAATTATCAGCTGAAGACCAGTCCTCTTCATCCATTGCAGAGCAACAGGTATTTGAAGGAAATGCCTGATAACTCAGTTGGTCAAGAATTCACCTGCAATGAAGGAGACCCAGTTCAATTCCTGGGTCGTGAAGATCCCCCGGAGAAGGAATAGGCTACCCACTTTAGTGTTCTTGGGCTTACCCTGTGGCCCAGCTGGTAAAGAATCTACCCACAATGTGAGAGACTGGGGTTTGATCCCTGGGTTGAGAAGATCCCCTGGAGAAGGGAAAGGCTACCCACTCCAGTATTCTGGCCTGGAGAATTCCATGGACTGTATAATCCATGGGGTGGCACCATGGGGTGGCACCATGGACTACAGCCTACCAGGCTCCTCCATCCATAGGATTTCCCAGGCAAGAGTACTGGAGTGGGGTGCCATTGCCTTCTCCACCAAACGACACTATTACTTCTAAAATCACCTCATCATAGCTACTGAAAAGTCATCAACTTAGTTGGCATGGTTTTTTTGTTTGTTTGTTTGCTTTTTATAACTACAAAACTAATAACATAAAATTTCCCATTTATCCCACCTAGAAATGGAATTATAATTCTATCAGCACCTAGAGCCTCCTCCTTATGTTATTCTACAATCTAATTTCTTCTCATATGTGATATTTAGCAATAATAACTTCAGTTCTTGCATAAATCATATTTCAACTTAAATTCATGAGAAAATTTGTTATAAGTTTATAAAGTGTCAATTACTGTTTCAAAATACATCAGTAAATGCTAATAAAATGTAAAATTTGTGTCCATTACATAATGTGAGATTCATTACACTCTAAACATGCAAATTCAAACTAACCAGTGTGATTAAATGCTTGATTCTGAAATCATGTTTGTCAACCTAAAAGTTTATGTTAGGTAGCTTTCTATTTCTAGGGATTTCCCAGAACCAAACAAAGCATTTTGACTCATTTCAAACCTTTCAATTTCTGTAACTATTTTACATTTTGACAAACAACTTTCCTAGTAGTATATCTCTATATATTTTTTAAAATCTTTTCAACATTTTTGTTGCCGCCACAGGGGGCATCATAAGCTGTGTTCCCCTTCACCAGCCCCTTGCCTCTTCTGGTCCCCTCCCCACATACACATGCCCACTTAGTAAAATTTAAAGCAAGCTCCAAGGACTAATAAAATTAACATATTTATTGATAACTGCTATTAGTAAAAGCATGGTGCCACTCTGATCTTCAAGTGGTGCTTAGAAATAGCCTCCTTCTAGAAGAGGAAGTCGGAGTAGACTTAGTAACGAGTCCTCAGTGTCAAGATGACTTCCAATCTAGGGTCTGACCTCATTAAACTTGGCAACTAATTTCCGTGCCTTTAATCCTAATGTCTATAGGAGGGAAGACAATATAGCCCCACAGTAGAGACATACATGGCTTCATTTCAAGTTTCTCAACCTAGAAGCTTTGTGGCTTAGCCAAATCACTTTGCCCTGAAACTCAGTTTTCCCATCAGTAAACCAGGGTTAAGTAGTTCTCAGCTCACATGATTTTTGTGAGGAGTAAATGGCATTGCCTCTTTTAAGGCCCTAGGATGTAATAAAATCTCTGAATATGATAATCATTTTTATTATGAATGTGGAGGGATAATTTATTCTGCTATTATGTTGTGGTTTGTTCCCCTTTTGGTTTTTTAAAGATAACCAGATCCTCTATATGCCCTCACTTATGCCTATATTTATGTTCTAGCCCTTCTGCTTGGCTTTTGTGAAAGATCACAGCAGAACATTTCAAAGTCAGATACTCCCCAGGTCAGGCAGCTGCCGTTAACTAGTGTAATGGGCTGGGCTTGGCCTGAGCAGAAGGGAGAGCCCTTCTCTTCCCCCACTGGTTATTGTCATGCAATAAAAGCCAGATTTTCCAAATTTCCATAAGCAGCTAACATCTATGTGAATTCATTCATTTTTAAATGCTAGGCACAGTAGTAAAGAATCTGCCTGCTGATGCAAGAGATGCGAGATCCCTGGGTTGGGAAGATTCACTGGAGGAGGAAATGGCAATCCACTCCAGTATTCTTGCCTGGAAAATTCCATGGACAGAAGAGCCTGGTGGGATACAGTCCATGGGGTCTTAAAAGAGTCGGACACAACCGAGCAACTCAGCACACACAATACCCACCCTCCCACTCCCACACTTACTCCCTCTCCCTGTCCTAAATGAATTAAAGTGGTTACCATAGCTGGTCCTGAAGGGCAGAGGAAAGAAAGCAGTAAGGGAAGGAGAAGAGATTGCCTTCAACTGGGAAGGAGAAGATGAAGGGGAGTGTGGTAGGGACCCACATTCCATTTCCTGACAGAACCTTCAGGAGGGAAGAGAAATGGGGAGGTAACTGAGAACTTAGCCCTCAATTTATCGCACTTGCCACAGGTTCTCATGCCCCTAATTTGACACAGAATCAGCAAACTCACTAGAATTCAAGGAACTGTGGAGGCTGGGCTGATAGACAGCTGAACAGAGACCAACAAGGGCAAAAACTTCCAAGGCCCGTCTTTGCTCGGTGTTAGAACCCTAGAACCTTTGCACAACACTCTGTGAGTGGATGAGGGGAGCTACAATGATAACTGAGACTGAATTTCTGCCTGTTGGAAGGAACTTCGAACTGAAGTTAAGAGTCTACAGAAAAGCAATATTTCTGGCGTGTGTACATGCTTGCTAAGTTGCTCCCATCATGTCCAATTCTGTGACCCCATGGACCATAGCCCGCCAGGTTCCTTTGTCCATGGGATTCTCCAGGCAAGAATACTAGAGTGGGTTACCATGCCCTCGTCCAGGGGATCTTTTCGACCCCAGGGATGGAACCCTTATCTCTTGCATCTCCTGCATTGGCAGGTGGGTTCTTAACCACTAGCCCCACCTGGGAATATTTCTGGGACTCTCTCCTATGTGGAGTAAGTTTCCTGGGGTTGCTTTAGGCTGGGATGAGCTTTGAGCCACTGAGTCACAGTATGTCATCACAGTGGTTCTCTGTGGAGCCAAGTATAAAGGGTGGGAAACGTCCCCCTACTCCAGAGAGACCAGAAGAGTTGGAGACACTTCTGGAGCTCTGGGAAAGGGCTGCAGGCCAACAAAAATGCCGCTGTCTTGCTTTGGAAAGACTACACTATCTGTAGAGTGCCCACGTACTGGGGCAGCAGGCTTTAAGGGGTCCCTTTTGACACTGGAGCATAGAACAGATGGTAGACGCAGGGATGAAAGACTGCCATGGGAACACTGTGACATCAAGAAACAGTATGTGACATTTTGGGACTTTGCTTCACCTATTATGTAATGTCTGATGTGTGTTGATATTTTTTCCTTCTAAAAAAGCTCCCTTTTGAACCACTGAAGCCAATACTGGAGGAGGAGCTTGGGCCAGCCTACTCAGCTGTCTGGTGGCAAAATTCCCCAGGCTTCTGGGTGATTGGCCCATAGAAGTCTGACTCCACTAAATAGTAACACAGAGTCTTCTGTGCTACAAGAAATTCTTGGCACAATAGTCCTATTTTTTTGCTGCTATTACA